GAGAGGGTCCTGGAAGGAAGAGGGGGCGCCCCGGGAGGAGGCTGGGAGCCGGGACAGGACTCAGAGGGGCCGGTGTGGCACTGGAGGTGGGGTGTAGGCTGTCCAGCAGGCCCAGTTCGTAACGCAAATGGAGGAAGGATGGGCGCTGTGGCCTGGGGGGGTCCCTGAGGAGGGACCCCAGGGTCTCCGAGTCCGGAAACTCTTCCATTGATGTATGGGATCTGATGTCAGGGGAGCCCGCAGACCCCTGCTGCGAGAGAGGCGGCCCTGCTGGTCCCCAGCTGCAGGGCTGAGGCCCGTGACGGAGAGGACAGGACGCTATTCGGGGCAGATCCCAGAAGGGGGGAGTTACTACTCCCCAGAGGTTGGGGGCGGCGGAGTTAGGACTTGGGATTTGAAGAATGGGACGCAAGGGACCCGGGATGCCCGAGTCCCCGAGGGGCTGGCAAGAGAAAAGAGAAGGACGCTGGGGTCTGGGGGAGGGTCCCCCCAAAAAGAGAGGTTGAGTCTGCGGAGGATGTGATGTGAGAACGATGGTTAGAATCTCGAAGGCCGAACCAAGAAAGGGGGCCACTAAAACGAAAGGAGGGTCTGTGGGAAGGGGTCCAAGGAGCAAACCAGGGACGCCAAGATAATCTACCTGGGACGATCTGGTGACAGGATTTTTGAGGGGTTGTTTCCTTGCTGGGAGGACTAGGTGAGGAGCGAGGAGGCCAGCGGTCAAGCCCTGGAGCCACCCGCTAGGGGGACGGGAGAAATGCTGGCTGGCCGCTCTGCGGGGCTGGATGCCCTAGTCCTCCAGAAGCTGGGGGACAGGAAGTTGGGGGGGTTGCTGTGTGAAGACCGGAGGTGTCTCAGGCTCAGAGGTTCTAATGGGATGGGGATTTCAGACTCTGGGGATTCTGGTTAAAGGCAGTGGAATCTCTTGTTTACGCTGGCAGGGGGGTGGTTGGCAGGGGGGTGTCATATGGTTGGGGAGGCACCTCCTTGCTGGGGGAGGCGCGAAATGTTGAGGAATCCCACATATGAAAGCTAAAAGGATGGTGGGGAGTCAGAGGAATCTGAGATAGGGTGAGGAACTAAAGTTGGATGAAAGGTGGGGACTGTGTGTAGGGAATTGTGGGGCCCAGGGCACCTCTGGTTCAGATTGGAATTTGGGAGGTCACATCTGTGGGGAGTGGGATTTCTCATCTTGAGGGTCCAGTGTTGGGACTCCAGGCTGTAGGTTGAAGGAGGGTCTGTGAATAGAAGAGCTAGCCAGAGGAATTGGGGTCCACAACCTCAGGGGGGAAAGCGAAGGACAGTGTGATGGGAGATGGTGTTCTTACGCTTCCCAACTGGGGTTTAAGTTCAGAACGCTGGTTCTTCATCGGAGAGAGGGGTCTTCCATTGGCCTGGAGTGCTGTGTCTGGAGCGCAAGGTTAGAAAGCCCCAGGTCATGATTTGAACCTTCTGGGGTCACTAGACAAGAGCCTAGCTCAATGTCTCTGGGTTCCATTGTTTTGAGATAAGAAGTATGTCTGGATCAGAGGAGTCGGAGTGGAGATGAACAAGTTAAGGTTCTGGAGTCTTGGATCTGGGTCGCGGACTGTGACCTCAGACTAGGGTCCCAAATTGAGGTCAAGACACAGTTTTGAGTTAGAAGGTCCTGGGTCAAGGTCTTGGTGTTAGAATAGGCTGCTAAGGGCCCCTCCTGCTTGGAGTCTCTGGGTTCTGGATTGGAATTTGGGATGTCACGTCTGTAGAAGGGAGATCTCTTGTTCTGAAAGTGTTGAAGGACGATTGTGGTCCAAGGATGTAAATAAAGAGTCCAAGGGTTTGAGTTAGGTTGAGAGGCTTGAGATCAAGGGCTTTAGGTAGTCCTGGGTCAGGGATTCAGGAACAAGGTGTCAGGGTTAGGGGTCCTTAGCTAGTGACCCAATTTGAGGATTTGGGGCCAAAGCCTCCAGTCTA